TATGGAAACAGAATAGAGAATAGGAATAGGAATAAGAATAGAATAGAATAGAAATAGGAATAGAATAGAATATGGAAACAGAATAGAGAATAGGAATAGGAATAAGAATAGAATAGAATAGAAATAGGAATAGAATAGAATATGGAAACAGAATAGAGAATAGGAATAGGAATAAGAATAGAATAGAATAGAAATAGGAATAGAATAGAATATGGAAACAGAATAGAGAATAGGAATAGAAATAGGAATAAGAATAGAATAGAATAGAAATAGGAATAGAATAGAATAGAATAGAATATGGAAATACAATAGAGAATAGAAATAGGAACAGAATAGAATAGAATATGGAAATAGAATAGAGAATAGGAATAGAAATAGGAATAGGAAATATCTTCAAAGAAAACCCAGAAAGTTCATTTGCCTCCTGAAAAAAGCACTTTTGGGACAGGAAACTGGACAGGTACATTTGGGAGTCATGCCTGGGGGCCCAGGGGCGCCAGTTTGAGGAAGATGCCAGCCAGGCCAAGTCCCCCCTCCTTCGCCTAATCCTGTCTTGCTCTCCCTTGCAGTGGCCTGTCCCAAGAAGCTGGCAGCGTGGAACAGATCTCCTTGCACTGCGCTGAGGGATCCCTGGAATGGCTGTATCCAGCCGGAGCTTTGCGCCTCAGCCTGTCTCCCCGCCTGCCCACGGGCCCCGCCGGCAAAGAGAAACCGCAGCACGTCACCGCTTGCATCAAGTCCTCCAGCAGCTTCCGGGGAGCCCAGATTTACCTGGAACGGGACGGGGTCTTGGAACTGCTCCTCTCGGAGACGGAGGCGGCCCTGCAGCCCAAGGTGCGCTGCTTCAGGTGGCTGTCCGGAGAGAAAGTGGCCCTCTTCCTCCAGTCTACTCTGCACCAAGACATCAGCCGTCGAATCGCAGCATTCCGGTACGAGTTGCGGGGCGAGTGGAATGCCCACTTTTCCTGGCCCTGGAGGAACCTCAGCGTGGAAGGTGCGTTTGGGTTAGCCTTTGCGGGGATGGACCAGAGGGGAATCAAAACCAGATGGGCTTGTTGTTGTTAGGTTGTTAGTTACGAAGCCGTGAGCCCGACGGACACCACAACTGTCATAAGTACATGCCAGTTGCCAAGCGTCCCAATTTTGATCACGTGACCATGGAGATGCTGCAGTGATCATCAGCGTGAAAAGAGGTCAAAAATCCCTTTTTTCACCGCCGTTATAACTTTTAACAGTCACTAAATGAATGGCTATAAGTCAAGGACTACTGTATTTGGTCATGTCACCATCTACATAGCCTCTGAACAGAATTTCTGCACACTCCTAGTATAATATTAAAAGCTACTGCCTCCTGTGGCTTGCACCAAAGTTGTTGTTAGTTGAAAAGTTGTGTCCGACCCCTTGCAACCCCATGGACAATGTTCCTCCAGGCCTTCCTGTCCTCTACCATCCTCTGAAGTCCATTCAAGCTCACGCCAACTGCTTCGGTGACTCCATCCAGTCCCCTCATTCTCTGTTGTCCCCTTCTTCTCCTGCCCTCCATCTTTCCCAGCATGAGGCTCTTCTCCAGGGAGTCTTTCTTCCTTCTCATTAGGTGGGCAAAGTCTTTGAGTTTCTCTTCAGAATCTGGCCTTCTAAAGAGTAGCCAGGGTTGATCTCCTTTAGGACTGACCGGTTGTATG